AACATAAAACACGACTGCCTGGAAGAGCTGCTATAAGATAGATTACTGTGCATAATTTAGCTTTAACAAGCATGAATATTTCTCCCGGAGTGCAGAGTCTGGCCATTTCCCTACCTTCACCCAACCCTCGTTCACATCAGACTTTACCAGGCCCCTGTCACACCCAAACGCAACCCGGCTGAACGAGGCCATTGCGAACCTCCACAGAGACATCTGCCACATAATGGCATCCCACTACCTGGACCTGGCCAGAGAGGAGGAGGCCAAAGCCACACAAGTCCGGTCAGAAATAGAAGAGCACTATAATCCGGACATAATCAGAATAGCAAACTGCAATGCCAAGAGACAGGCAGCATCCGCCCCCGGGAATAGGGAGAGACACAGCACCCGCGAAGACGACCAAGGAGGCAACACCAGTATTCCACCTTTTGACATTGTTTCCTCTTTCTTCTCCCCCCCCCCTTTTCTTGCTGTATTTTTGCTGCTTAACTTTAATATAATAAACCATATTTTTGCTGCTTAATTATGGTATAACAAACATGCTCAGCTGTATATTTTTATTTTAATTCCTTTTCATCAGCCATATTAACCTCTGTCTACCTATAAACGATGTTGCTTTATTCGTATTCATTATTTTGCTATCTAGATTGCAATATGTACACGGCCAATCCTAGCACAGCGTCCAAACGCACCATACTCAGGAGAACCATTGGCACCAAGCGAAGAAAACATACCAATAAACTAACTAAAAAGCTGCTCAAAAAGGCCATCCTGGCCACTAAACCAATCAATAACATTGTCAATCTATCCTCAGCTCACATTTCAACAAGTGAGATATCTCTGCTGAACAGGGGACTATCGTTTGCCCCTGCCCCCGGTCGGTGCGCAACTGGATGATGGTGGAGCACCATCTTTTCATGTGGTTGTGACAGCTTCTGTCCACGTTACAAGTGTAGTAATAACATGGATTCAAATAACTCTTTTCAAGTTTGGTTAGACGAAAGCATCTCAGGTCCAGCAAAGATGCCATTTTGGATAGATGCTAAGATCAAAGAGGTCAGGGAGTCATAAAACCTACCAAATTCTGGTGTTTGATGAACAGCAAAACGATTCCTTATGCTCATGCCTATTTTGAACACGCTACAAAGCCTATTGTTACCTTTAAACAATTGATTGACGTGACAAAGTGCCTTTAACCAAAAAGAAAGCCATAGACACAATCCAGACAATGAAGGAAATTGTTTCTGACAGGAATGATGAATCTCCTCACACAGCAATCATTCTGTCATTACTGACAATGAGGAGGCAAAGTCAAGGTATGAGATAATAAATTCAATGAATTGAATAGATCTCAAAAAGCTAGCAAAAGACCATTGGGCTGCATAAAATCCACAGAAAATCTCACCAAGTCAATCGCGGTAGCACTTCCAAAAATACATACTTAGAATAGAGATGTTTAGAGCAAGAGTAGAGCAATATGGCCTACATGTTTTAGGAATCCCAGAATATGATCCAATAGACAATTGAAACAGCTTTGTTTACTTTTTACTGGAGAAAAGAATGCAAATGCCTAAAAAAATTTGAAAGCAGAGTGCTATTGTTTGAACTTTCGGCGTAAAATGTGTTTTAGCAGCCATTTTGCCATTAGGAGCTTCACTTGGATTATATCCTACATGAAACAAGGATATTGTAACAGCGCAACTGAATGTTGGTGGAGCACCATCTTTCCATGTGGTTGTGACAGCTTCTGTCCATGTTACAAGTGTAATAATAACATGGATTCAAATAACTCTTTTCAAGTTTGGTTAGACGAAAGCATCACAGGTCAAGCAAAGATGACATTTTGGATAGATGCTAAGATGAAATTCTGGTGTTTTATGGACAGCAAAATGATTTGTTATGCGCATGCCCATAACAGGATATCTTTTGACAGACTTCTCTACCTTTGTCTCTATTCTAGTGCTTGACGATACTTGTTCATGTATTTTATTGCTTTGAATAAACACAGTTTTTGTTCGTTAAGAATGCTCAAGAAACCAGAAAGGAAACCAGAGAAACAATGAAGAGACTGATAATGTAAAATTTTGATTTAATTCTTTTACATGAAACATTGTATGGTTAGGTATCTTTTGGTTTTCCCAATAAATATGTTAATTGTTACTGGTAGATAGGTAAATATAGGATTTTAAGTAGGTACATATTTACATGAATGAGATGGCATCAGAAAAATAGCTTTGTATTTTTTGGCATCCTTGTAAAGGAACCTGAAGAAATCTTTTTGTAATGGAATCTGAAGTCTTTTTGTAAGGGAACCCGAAAAAGTCTTGTCTACAACAATAGTTTTGTGGCTTAAGAGGGGGCTGTCCATTGTTTTGTTTCCCATTGAGGACAGTTTGCAATAAACGATATACCGATCACTAGCGCCATTATGAAATGAGGGAAAATTTCACTCACCCCAAGCCCCCAAACAAAAAGAAAAATTTACCAATTTTCAACCCTCCAATTTTACACCAAAACAAAGCTACTTTTACCTAAATTCTAGTGCAAAGTAATATTTAATCACCAAAGTATGTAAAAAAATACTTACTTACAACGATTTATTTTGTTTTTGGGTCTTCCACTGCAATAATTGAGGAAGAATTACAAACATCCTAAATTTGTGGTGTTTTCAATTTGAGGAAGAATTACAAACACCCTTTGATCTGGAATATTCTTTCTGTAGGCCCAAAACGTCCAGAAAATGTTTTATGAACCCTCTTGAGTTTGCCTCTCAGTCAATATACCTCTATTAGAAATAGGAATGAGATTGGCTGAAATACAGAATGCCAAAGACATCGCCTTTTTGATCAGTTGACGTGAGTAAATGTGTCATTAAAGGCGTGTTCTCCTCATGATGCGTGACTTAAAGTTCTCTAAATACACCATTCTATGCAAACGAACAGCTTTCTACATAGAGAAAGAAAAATATTTTTAAGGGGGTTAACTAGTTTTTTCATACGTAGAGAAAAGCAAGAGTTTCAAACACAAGAGAGATCAGGTAAAAATATTGATAAGGGCGTTGACTGTTTCATTTTTCTTTGAGTAATACATACCCCCTCTCGAATAGATTCCTTTTCCTTTCGCATAAATGCAAGTGGTTTAGAGTGGTTTTCGTTCAGTAGAAACGAAAATGAGCTATTCTTCATTTGAAAAAGTTATGTCTTGTGCCCATTTTCTGGAGTTGAGTTGCGTCGAGCTGAAGTAATATATGATGCTACGTGGTTATCCAGTATCTGGAAATAAGTTAGATTTAGCAGCTAGGGCATTTAGAGCCTCTAGCGCATTTAGAATGAAAAGAGCCCATTATTAAAAATATCCAAGAATTAGAAGCTGATTTAAAGAGCAGTTATGCTAAGGTTCTGAAAGATTACAGTATCTCGGATCAAAAGGGAATCAATTTAAAGAATTGCAGGAATGATGTTTCAACGTGGCCCATGTTTCATATCTTTGCATATATTATAAATAAGAAAGCCTTTGATACAGAGTATGTCGACCAGTACAAGATCAAGAAGGCATATTCGCATTTTATCAATGGACTTGTACATGAAAGTTTTTCATTTAACTTTGGCACAGATAAAATTGTTCTCAAGGCAAAAGTCACACCTTCACAAAAAGTGAGGGAAGATCCAAGGGAGACATGGGTTCTTTGCACAAAAGGAGGCCATTTTTTTTGTGGCTCACTGTACATGTACAGCTGGGTTTAGAGAGTGTTGTAACCACATTGTAGCCGCTCTGTACAAAGTGGAGTTTGCAAAAACAAACATGTTGATTGATCCAGCCTGTACACTTGAAGCTTGTGTTTGAAATAAAACTACAAGGAGAGACGTTGAAGCAAGTAGGATAAGAGACGTTGTCATCAGAAGCATGAGCGAGAAAGGCAGATAACAAGCGAGTCATTATAGCGAAGCAAAAAAGTTATTTGACCTGAGACTATCATTTTTGCAGAGACTATCTTTGTAAATTCAAACTTTCCGCGGCATTAGAGAACTCAAAAGTGTTTTTAAATGTCCTAAAACTTGTTTTTCTGGTGTGGTTGACTTTTTAATTTATAATTTAGACATTTTCTAGTTCCTTAGTTTCATAGTTTTTTGTAAAATCTCAACCGTACAAAGTAAACCCTTAGATTTCTGATTTTGTATATTAAACAAAAAATCTTGATTTATCTTTGTATGAATGCAATTTTCTCTGAAACTATGCAAGATACTGAAACCAAAATTTAACAGATTATTCTTAAAGGTACGGCGAGTTCAAATATGGTCAGCAATTGTCAAGAAAGTATTTGTTTCATGTTTTATTCACAATTGAAGTGTTAGTTTTCAATTTGCAGCTTAAAAAAATTCCTCAAAAACTTTGTAATTTCAAACTTTCATCGGCATTAGAGACGGAAATATTGTCAATTTTCCTACAACAGCTGAATAACAATCCACCAACTGCTTCAATCTTGCTATCTGTAGAACGGCCAGCTGAACATGATTACCCCCTTCCACTGCCACAACTCGTGCAAGATATAATAAAGGAGAAAGCCAATATGAAGAACTGCGTATGAAGAACTAGTTACAGATTTTCAATCAAAGATTATTTTTAACAACAATCAGCTGACAAAGCTCTAAAAGGTCACCAGATCACAAGATGGTTCAAAAATTTGGTGACAAAGATCTGGATGTATCACTGCAACTAAAATTCGTGACTTTTTTACAAAAGTAAATGCGATTTCCAGATCAAAGGCAAAAGCACCCAAAATCATGCCATTACTTGCAAAGTTGTTGAAGCACAATGACATTGGGATGTTGCCAGCCATAAAATGGGGGCGAAAGCACGAGGAAGATGCCAAAAAAGCCTTTTCCAGTGCTGTTGTTTCGAAGAATAAACATGGGAAGCTACTCGATTCTGGCTTAATAACCAACTGCTCATTTCCTTTAGTTCGGGCTACTCCAGATAATGCTGCGAGGGTCCTGTGCCAGTAGAGTTCAAATGCCTGTTTAAGTTGCGGGGAGAAGGGTGAAGAAGAAGGAGCAGACGGACTGGATTTTTTATACATTGATGAATACAACAAATCGAACCTAAAAAAGCAACATAAATATTATTCACAAGTTACGACACAAATGGCTTTAACTGGAGGGAAAAGGTGCTATTTTGTCGTGTGGAGTCCGAGAAGGGAACCACTTATCGAACAAGTCAAAGTTGAAGAAAGACACTGGTCAGACCTGGAAAGAAATGCTTTTCTTTTTTTCAACGGGTATGTGGTTCCAGTGCTTCTGGAAAGAAAGCAGATTTATTACTGCCCCGAAAGGGAGAGGAGAAACCATGCTTGGAGAAAGAAGAGACACTGGACAAATCAGAAAACAGTATTAAGTGCACTGAGTGTTCATTTGGTACCATTTGGTTTGTGTTGGAATTACAAGAGACAGGGAGCGATATTGGATTTGTGAGAGGTGCCTGTTATTGTCAGTTTTGCCGTATGAAAACGTATCCATTATAGACGATAGTGACAAATCACAATTAACTATACCATGACTTGATTTATATAATATGCCACTTTGTTCCTGCCCTGATTTGAAAATGTTTGCATATCCTTGTAAATTTTTTTTGCAATATTTGTCAAGTATCCTTCATGGTCCTGGGATGCCTTGCCCTCTGCATACTTCTGGACCAGCAGAACCCACAGTCAGAGAGCTCATTGACGATAACAATTCCCTTATTTCAAAACTGCACACAAAGCTCTAGGAGATAAAATCTTTGATTTACAAAGAAGCACCAGCTGTGAAGGGCATTCATCTTCGACAAGTTACACCAAAGAAGAAACCTATAAAGAAAATGAAAAGTTTAATTAAAGGAAACAGAGAAAGAGGCTAAAGAAAGACTTGCCACATCACCATAGACAAGTCTGAAGCTTTTTTAAGGAGGATGTAGTAGATAATATTGTAAGCGGCAATCAAGAACAACTAGGTTCTACAATTTTTTGTAACATCAGTTGACAGAGCTACAGCAGGAGACAATTGAACAGATTTTGTTGAAAAAAATACAAAATTTTTTGTTGGAAGGCAGCGACTGAACAAACATGACTTTAAAAAGATATCAGAGAATGGCATGCTTAATAACTCAATAATCAATGTATTCCAAATTCTGATGCTGAAGGAACACCCTGAGTCAAATGATTTACAAGACCCTTTTCTTGGGCAAAACATGTTTTTTACTGTACACCACGACAAACTTTTTGTTCAAATCCTCTATGATGGAAAACTACATTGGATTGCTGTTTCAACATATGTATGTGGGCCTGGGAAGGTCTTCTACTTCGACCGTTTGTGTTCTCTGGTAGAATATCTGAAAAAGTTAATCAACTATTAGGTGCAGTCATGCATTCTTCAAGGTCAATTTTGAAAATAAATGTTGTCCCAGTTCAACAGCAATCAAATAGAGTGGGCTGTGATGCAAATGCCATTGCCTTTACAAATTACGTTCTAAAGGAAAAGAGAAATCCCACTGAGGTGACATTTGACCAAGAGACAATGAAGCATAATCTATTAAGGTCCTTAGCAGCAAAAACAATGCTTCCCTTTCCGACAACAACAAGAACTATAAGAAGATGCTGCACAAAAACGATTTCATTTGACGTATATTGTTCTTGTATAATGCGCTGGGTACCATTCCACAACAACATTTTTGAAAGGTAAATTAATTACACATTTACTCGCAATCATTCAATTTTAAAAAACTTGTCAATTTCCTCTCTAAGATATTAAAATGTCTTATTTTAGATGTGTATTTGAATTCGTGAATCCAAAAATAAAATTATGTTGAACTTGCTTTATTTCAACAAAGATATTCTGTTGCCTTTAGAGAAATATTAAGCAGTTCCATAAAAATTGCTAAAAATATTTTTTAAAAATTGTTTTGCATTTTAGACACATTTGAAAGGTAATTAAGAAATCTAACTTTTCACTAAAAGTTCAGCTTTTCAAAAACTTCAAAAACTTCAGAAACAGAGGCTTATGAAGTTCTTCTATTTTACTGTGGAAGGAAATTGCTTCGAAATTGGGTTGGAGATGAAAATTCGGCCATAGTAAGTATTCTTCATTTCAAAAAGATATTCTTTTACCTTAACTCTTATCCATCGTGTTTGATTGAGTGTTGTTGATATCAAAGTCAAATGAATTAAATCCTATTTTTTCCTATTTGAAATTATACAATTTGAAAAGCTAACCTTAAATCATATTTCTTCCAGATTTTAGCATATTTGGTTGGCGGCCAAGAGTTAATAACTCCTGTACGTGCATGGGAAATTCTTGTAAGCTGCGTATGTTTTTTAAGATAAAATAAAACGATATATTAGCTTGAAATTAATATTTATGGGGAAAATACAGAACAAAAATCTATATGTTAACAATGTAAAGAAGAAAAAGGAGCTCTTGTGTGCATTTGTAATTGACAATTTTTATCAATATTATTTACAGCAATAGTGGTTACCATTGATTGGCCTACCTAGTGCTTTTTCCCGCCAGCCTCAAAGAAAATAATTATTGTTATTATTATTATTGATCAAATAAGGATTTGTAACGTTAGTATGATGACCGGGTCTTTTTCTGTTAACTGCTTATTTTCTTAACTAAGTGGAGTTATCTGAAATACAGCCTTCTACCGTTTTAGGAAAAACCACTGCGTTTGCATCAAGATCCTTAAGTGGAACTTCTATAAATCTATCAGGTAATGTGTTTCTAAAAAATTGTTTGTCTTGGTATAGAAAATTCAATTTGAGCACATTTTACTTTTGACAGAAATAACACTGGATTTAAGAGAAATCAGGCTCAACTAGTTTTTATATTCAAAAGATAGGAACGAGGCTGTAGATGTGTTCAACAGCAAATGCTTGCAAAAAAAAACACGAAATCTAACTAATACTAATATGCCAATATGCAAATGAGCCCGAACAAAAGACCTCCACACTGCCCCGCGATTGTACCACCGCCCGGCGTTGCACACGGTGCCCAGCCAAAACTGCTTGGCCGATTTTCAAAATTCTTTTTTTCCCTTCATCAACGAATCTTTGGTTCACCATACTACGGTCTCCTTTTTCTCCTTTTCGCTTCCGTTCCTGAGATATTTACGGTTTTCTCCCGGGTTCGTCTCCATCCCCACCGCCCCGCGATTGTACAGGTTTGCAGCCAAAACCGCTTGGCCGATTTTCAAAGTTCTTTTTTCTTCTGAATCCTCCATCCCGATGCACCATCATCAGGTCTGCTTTTTCTCATCGTTCTTTTCGTTTCTCAGATATTTACACGGTTTTCTCTGAGGATGCAAGATCTCGATTAGTGCTCTCCGTGGTCTTTGTCCCGCGTTTCTAAAGGTTCTTTCTCTCTTTTCTCTTGCTCTCTACTACAAAAGATTTCAAAACTTCTTCCTCCAGCAACCCTTCAATTTGAACGGAGGCTTTTCAAATCCGTTTCGTTGTTAAGACAAAGAATCTACTGTCTGCCGATAATTTCGGTGATTTGGATGATTTGGATAAATCTACGTGCACTGCTGCTTGGCATTCCTTTTCGAACTCGAAGCGGTTGTCGACGGTTGCATTCTGTGCTACGGTGCTACAGTGCTACCGTGCTACAGCTACAGCTACAGGTGAGTCTTGCTAGCTTTTTATAAGCTTTTCGTTGTCATTTTCCTTTCCTTTTTATCGATCGATCGATACTCCGTTTGTTGTTATTTCGTTTCCAAGAGCCATGTAATTCGTGGTTTTGACGATCTTCCTTTTCTTTGTTTTAGTAGCTACATACGGTACGCACACTGCTGCCCGTTTTTTGGTTTTTTGCGATGGCTGCTGGCTGTTCTTCTTCTTCACTAGCATCAGAATCGATGGCATGCGAATACAAGTAAGCGTTGTTGTTCTTACGTGTTTGTCATTTAAATTATTTGACATGATTTTCTGCTCATTTGGATGAAATTGCACTAAAAACCAGCTGCTAGACCCCCGCCACGAACGAAAAAATTTTACCTCTTCTCGTGGTTTTGTGCTAAAAGAAAACTGGATAGGTTTTATTGCAATCAAAATGGTAGATTTTTCCTGCTGTTTATTCTTGATGCAAGAAAATTTGATTTTAATAGGAAACCCGTTGAGAATTATGTAATGGCAGCTGCCAACTTTTTATGCCAAGTGAGTATTTTTTGATTAAAATTTCACTTTTAATGCGATTTTCCCACTGAGAATGAATCATTCTAGAAACCATTTCAAATGATTTTATGCTTACTTTGATGGAATTACACTAAAAACCGGTCGCTTACTACTAGGCCCCCGCCGCGAACTGCAAATTTCTACCTCTTTTCGTGGTTTTGTAATGAAAGGAAGCTGGATTGTTACGGTAGATTGTGCCTGCATCATTTTCGGAATTGTAAATGAATCATTCTAGAAACCATTTAGGCACGTAAATGAATTTACGTGCCAGTGTGATTCTGGCTATGTAGGGCGCACAACCCAAAGATTGGGGGATAGGATAAAACAGCATGTTCCTTCCAACATACGAAACAAAACTGCCCCTCAAAGAGAACAGCCTCCTCGATCTTGTAGGTCTAGAAACACTGTTAAAACAAGTGATTCTGCCATTGGTCAACATCTTTTAGACAACCCAGATTGTGCAAAACTCTATAATGCCGACATGTTTCGGATAATTGGCAGAGCCCGGTCGTCCTTCCATCTAGCAGTTTTGGAGTCAATCTACATAAAAACGAAAAAGCCGCCATTGTGTAGACAAAAGGAGTTCGTTTTCTCTCTTGGACTCCATTGGTAAATTTTCTTTAGGCTCGCGGCACTGATTGGTCAACTATACCGGTCTTGTGCTTGCGTTTTTCTGATTGGCCTATTTCGATCCACAACTGGGTATATATTTTTCCATCGTGTTTTTTCGGAACCTATTCTGACGTTTTATGATCTGA